GATTGAACCCTGGTCCTTGTGCTTGCCAGACAGCTGCTTAGACCACTTGGCTAATCTCCCCAGCTCAGACTTTTGAATGTGGAGCAATGTGAGTTGTACTGATAATTGAACCCACTGGCATCAAAAGGAGGTTTGTTCTTCGATCATGCAAAGATCATTGTCCAAAGTGGAACAAACACAGTATTGGCCTTCATATGAGATGGTTGCCCTGAAGATACTGTGAGGGAGTTATGGATGGAGGCAGAGAAATGTCCCTCTGCATTTTATGGACTATTCACTGCAATTACCATGTATTAAGAGTGACAAAAAGCAAAATAGACCCTCACCATCTATCTAGGTTTTGGCTTTTAGCTAATCCGCCCTGCATAGTTGCGTTAGGCTGAGGACACCCTAAGTTAGTAGGTCATTGACTGGACCTCAAGCCAAGAGGGTTCTCTGACCTGAGATTCCTTGCACCTGCATCCAGACACAAACAAGACCCCGGAGTGGGGGGCAGTTGAACTCGAACCACCGCACTTGCTGTCTCCTTCCCTCCAGCAATGTCCTTTTCTTTCCTGCCCTCCCCACCCTTGGGAGGCTGATTTCCAGGTCACACCTGCTTGGGAACTTCCACTTCCACGTGTCTTCTAATTTGTCATTTAGAAACACCGATTCTGTCCTCCAGTTATACTTCATCTATGGAGGCCTTCTCAGCTGGTCACATGTTCTCATGTTTCCACTCCAGTAGGGGCTCCCCATTTCCCTGAGAGGAGGCGACACAGGTGATGCTGTCCCGCTCTCTAACCTGGAGCTAGAGAGTAATAACTTATTCAATATGCAGGGGCAGTTACTGACATCCGGTTCCATTCATTATTCTTTGGTACGCTTTCTTTTTCCCTTAGGAAAAATCCTTAAGCGAGACATAGTTGAGTGATAGAGAATGAGGAACAGTATTGTGAATTTGAAAAATAACGTAGTGCCTCTGCTCTGGCTCGTTCTGGGGCGGGTACATAGGTGCTCTGTCCTAATGTGCCCTTTATGGCACATCTACCTTAACCAATGGGTAGGCCTTAGAGGAATGCCCCTTGGAAAGTGGCCTAGGAGAGACGCCTTTCTTGAAAAATTCCATTGACATTGTTCATAGGCTCTGAGTCAGAAGAGGTGATATAAATCGTTCCCTGCACAGGTTATTCAAGGTGGTTAAATGCTTGGTTAGATCCCATCTGAGTCTTTAAGGTTGCCAAGTGACTTGGACAAATAGTCCTTGTTATTATACATGGCCCCTATGGCCTTAAAAGTACTTCTGTGTTCGCTCAAACTAATTAAATAAAATATTGACTATTCAAAAGAAAAAGTTGGTCCTTTTTTTTCATGGGTCATCTGGATTTTTGAAATGTTCTACCCAGAACCTTCTTCTGAGAATTGTTGACTGTTAAGAAACTTGTGTATTTAGGTTTCTGTATACCATTATTTATGAAATGTACTTTTTTGAATGTGATGAAATGCTGGAAGGTTTTCTTTTCTGTTTTTCCCTATATCTATAAGCCAGATGCCATTTTTTCCCTCTAGAATAGTTAATAGCTCACCTGTATTTAGTTTGTACAGAATACAATGGAGTTTATGTCTTTAGTTCTTTCCTGCTTTACTAGCCAGAAGTATTGAAGAAGAGAGGGTGAGTTTGAGAGTAAGCTATTTGGTAAAAGCCAAGAAAGACATGTAATGAACCCAAGGTACTTGAAAATTCAGTAAAAATCAGTAACTAGGACTGCTGTCACTCTTTGATTTTGAGTAGAGATGCATTGTGCACAGCCATGGTATGTCAAATGCCCATGCACTAAGATTTCTTAATAGCATGTATTGCAGATCTCTGTCTTCACCAAGTGTGGCATGGAGTGATAAGAGGGGGTACATGTGCTTAAAGCCTGTAGTCAGTGTGTAGCACCGGTTTCTCTTCTGAAAGTGTTGGTTGCACAGTATTGTTGGAAGCTCAGGGAGCGCTTGTGGAAAGCTTTAAAATTCATGAGGTTGAAGTGTCTTGGTTTGCAGCGGACCCACGACACTGCATTAGTAAATGGAACATCTTTTGTCAACTGATGGGAAAACTTACAAGTCAGCTTTCCAAATTTGCTGTGTAAGTTTAAATGATTTTTTTTTTTTTTGCCTGGAGAGACTCACCTAGTGCCTGTAGTTTAATTTAATAGTAAGTTCTGAGGAGGGGCTTGCTTAGAAGTGCATGGAATCTTCTGTTACAGCTATCTGCTCTGTCCACACACTTCTTCATGCTTAACTGGTTTCTACAGGGAACAGAGAAAGGGTCTCTCAGAAGGCCGAAGGCGTAACAGTTTCCCACAGTTTTTGACAGAAAACTTTGTATTCCCTTGGATTAATAAAACAAATCAGTACTGTATTGCTTTAAAACGTATATTAATTTAATCAAAGTGACTGTACACTCACTAAATCCAAGTGAAGAGAGTAAAGACATGACCTAATACTCTGTAATTTGTAAATTTATACAGGGGCTTCCAGAAATAAAATTTCTGGGGTGTGTGTGTGCAAGTGTGCACATGCATGTGTGTGTGTACATGTGTGTACATGTGTGTGCAGGTGCATGTAACAGAAACCCTATAAAGTAACTGTAGCGAATATTGCTGTCTTCATTTCCAAAGTTAGGAGAAGCCAGTCAGGGTCCTAGGCAGAGTCACTTTGCCACTGTCACTGGCGGAGTGGAGCTGGGTCTAGACCCCATTACGAGGTTCCATAGTCCATTGTACCACTCTTTTGGCTGTCCTCAGATGCCTTCCTCAGAGGCCTGAGGACCATTTCTCTTGAGTCTGTTTACCCCGGTGTCTTTACACGCACCTGGGTTGGGGTGAAGGCAGTGATGTTGAAACTGGCATGGCTGATGGCCTAGAAGGAGAGCTCCTTCATCCCTCGTCCCTTGGTGACGCTCCTTGGTGAGAGTCACTTTATTGTTCCCTGGGGCTTTGCCTGCCCCTATTCCCTCCTGCTGCTGTCCTCTGCACACCCCTGGTCCTGATATTAAAACCACGCAGTCTATGGATCTGCAATCTTGGAGCAAATGATTGTTTACTTTTCTCTTAGACAAGAAAGTGCATGTCCAGATCCACTAACCATCTGGAGGGCAGTCACAGGGGAAAAGTGAGTCAGGAAGACCCCTCTCTCAGATTGCCTTTGTCCTCCAGGGGACACTGAGTCACAAGCATTGCTTCGAGCCTTTACATGACATTTGGAAATGCTTTTCATGGTTCTGTAGCATCTTTATTGCATGAATTCAGAAAATTTATTTAAATGTTAGATATTTAGGTTATTTTCTAGTTTTAGTGTGATAGAAAAAAAGAGAAAGAGAAGGGAACTGTGGACTACCAAAAAGCTACAAATTTGGTTTAAATAGTTGACCTTGGTTATTGCTCTGTCAGAGCGTGTTATAGTCATTGTAATCAGGTAAGTATACATTCCTAAATAATGCAAGTTAGTTTTCTTTACCAATGGGGAACAGGAGTTAAAAAATGTCTGTGAAAGCCTTCAGATTCACAATTTCCATAAATATTTTGGCCATAGATTCATATAAGGATCTATGCAGTGGTAACTGGAAATATTTTAATGTAAGTTGATACATAAATGTATACATTTGAAAAATCTAAATTCAGTTATAAATAATCACTACTCTGTAGAACTCCTTGTTTCATTGACAAGTTCATGTATTTTTGGAGCAGTGTATTTCTTAAGCACTCGAGCTGCATATCGTTTTGTCATGCATACAGAAAAGGGCTCACTGGCGATGAGCAAATTCATAGAAATTGAGGCAACTTTGTGTTCCTTAGTTTTATTTGCTGGAAATAAAATCATTCCTCAGTGTCTGTAGGGATTGTTTCCAGGACTCCCCATGATATCAAAATCTGCTGATGATCAGTATTTTCTATAAAATATTGCATTTAAAATATTTGTATATAACCTATACACATCCTCTTAGGTACTTGAAATCATTTTTGTTATACATAATAAAATCTAAAATGTTACCCAGCTAGCTGGTGCAGTGTTTTTAAGGAATATGACCCAGCCACCATAGACCTAACTGCATAATACAGGTCAGCAGTAACACAGCCTCTTTTTCCTAAACACTTTTGATCAGAGCTTGGTCCAACCTGCATGTGGAGCCTGGAGCCACAGGAATTTACCACTGTAGTTTGTTAACTTCCTGTGGGTATGTTAAGCTGGACTGCAGGGCAAGAGGGGGCATTGGAAGCCTCCTGAACTCTAGCAGTCCTCCGGCATTTTCAGTCTGACTCACGTCCCACTCTTGCCTGCACAGCAACCAATGAGCAGACCAAGGTTTTACTTGGTATCCTCTTCCTTTTCCCTTTGGGTTCCTTCTTTTAAACTCAATTCTATTTTCTCCCACTGACCAGTGCCTTCTTTCTACTCAAACCTCTTCAACATGTCATTAACCAAGGCCTCTGTTTTTGGAGGTCTCATTCTCCCAAGTTGTGTACATTGCCCCAGTCAGCAGGAAGTCACCTGACTGCCCCAAATGTGACCCTATTTTTAGCTTTTAATGTGTTTCTTGATAAGTCACTACCTTAATCTTACATTGGTGTAGTTCTGTGTCAGGGTCACGAAAGTCCATTGTACTTGTGGATAAACGCTGAGGGCAAGGATTGCTACAGAAAAATGAAATTAGGAAGTCGTATAAGTTAAAATACTCAAATAAGCCTTTGCCATGGGTGTAAGACTTTTCTCAACCTATGGAGGATAAATTGTGTGAGCATGTGGGAATCTCGCTTGAATAAACTCTTAGGGTGAAGTCATGCATAATTAATTGCCAGTCTCTGCTTTCTTTCCAACATGACGGCTCTTAGTCTCTGCACTTGTGATAACTTACATTTCTTCTGTACAAGAACCCCAGAATATCCAATTAAGGAAGAGGCAGAGGTGGCTCTGTTATGTAACTTCTGTACTACTGTGATGGGATGGGTAATTGTCATTTTTCTTTTTACTTCTAGTGCCTGAAGCATTACATGCAGCTGGCAATCCGAGAGGGCTGTGGGTCCCCCATCACTTGTCCTGACATGGTGTGTCTAAAGCACGGGACCTTGCAGGAGGCCGAGGTATGGATGTGCGCCACGACTTGCCCTTCTGTCCTGCGGAGATTATTTATTGTGATCTTAGCTCTGTACATACTTCCCTGAGAGAGTCTAGCAACAAGTACCTAGGTTACCTTTTAAAGGAGCACTACGTCACTACATACAGTTGGGCTCTTTGTGCAAATTGTTAGAGCTGTCGTTTACCTCGGTTCTGTTATCTGTGCCATCTTGCAGGACATAGAAGCTCTGAAATAGGCAAAGACACTAGCCATCAGATTGCCCAAATGTGAGGTTTGAAGGCTGAAAAATAATCATGTAATTTTGAAAACTTGAAAGATGAGTAGATCACTTATTAGCCACAGTCATGCCTTGTATAATCAACCATGATTCTACAACGGTGGTCTGATTTGCATGATTTCCAAAGGACAGAGGAAGCCTTTTCAATTGATCAAGCACCAGAAATGTCTTCCTTTTTTGAGTGAGTTCTCCTATTTTCTTTTAAAAAAGTGTTTTTTAAATTTTATTCTAATATATATCTCACAGCATATTTCAGTATATAATCTCTTTAAAGCAGAGGGCACTAGAAGGACAGATGAGAATCCAAATGAAGCCCTGTAGCAAGGGCACACATGCAGCGCAGTATTTCTGAGGCGTAACAAGCAGACCAAGTCACCCCCATTTAGCTTGCAGCTATGCCGTGCTTTTAGAACCCTCTTTGAGATTTGTCCACATCCCCGTTGTGCGAAGTTGCCATTTATTTTAAAACAAAAATTAGGATATGAAATCAGAACAAGGCTATGAACTCAGAGGGCCCTCTTTATAATTTTAGTCATCTGTAGCTCCATGAAGGGTAGCCTCGATCCTCTTTTCTTAAGTCTATAATTTATCTCAGTCCTTTGTTTGTTCAATCCCTGCTCTTTGGTTTGCCCTGTAACCTTCCTTTTAATCATTAGTCCTTGTGTTCACTTTAAATCGGAGTAAAATGAATTCTGGTCTGATTCTTAGGGTGTTTGTGCCTTTCTGAAAAGAGTTGCAAGAAACAGACGGAGCGAATTATCCATCCAGGGAACACTGAGCACCTGCTTTGAACCAGGCACTCTTTTGTTGCTCTCATGGACAGCGTAAAACCTGATCTTCCTGACAAACCTCATGAAGTTGGGTGTTGTTTTCAGCTAGGGATACTGAGGCCCAGGGGATCCCAGTAACTTACTCAGGTGTGTGTGTCCAGAAAGTGGAAGAGCCAGAATTCTAATCCAGTTCTTTCTGGCCACCATATTTATATGGCCTTATGTGTACAACTAGGTATATAGGCAGAATGTGTAAAGAATTGGTCATCAGAGCCCAAGAGATAACTCAGTGGAATAAATGCTTGCCTGGCAAGCACAAGGCCCTGAGTTCGATCCATGGTACCACTGGGGGAGGAAAAAAAAAGAGTTGGTCATTAAGTAGTGTCACACAATAGTGTATGGGGGTAGAGTTATAAATGTATACGGATGCATTTGGACATGTGGATGCATGCGTATCATAAATGTTTCACTTATAAATCTATGTGCTTTCACACGTACATCCTTTATAAGTAAAACAGTCAAAGAGATATTATAGATAGCTTCTAATCTAACACAATGATTATCTGTGTTTAGCTTATGAAATATCAGCTGAGAGGTACATGAATTCGAAGTATTTTTATAGGGAAGCATAAAATTTGGAATGCATAATGACTTAGAAGTGATGTAAGAAAATAATGAAATCTACCTTTTTAATTAAAAAGTAATATTGAACATGTAAATCTTGCTGTTTATTTTGGTGTGAAGGGTGAGTAGAAGAAAATTAAAAGGGAGAGAGTTAAGACTAATTGCCAAGAACACAGTTGATCTATATAACTTAGAATTGGGACTGGAGAGATGGCTCAGTGGTCTAAAGCACCTACTTGAAACAAGCTTGGCAAAGCAGAGGGACCGCGGTTCGATCCTCCAGCACCACATGCCGGCCAGCCGTGCCCCCTGGTGGGCTGAGCTGGCCACACACACACACACACACACACACACACACACACACTAAATAAAT